CGAGCTTTTCAGAATTAACGCACCGATAAAAGATAATTAAGCATTTACCTTAGTCAGAGCTTTTCAGAACTAACACACCGATAAGAGATAACTTAAGCATTTCCCTTAGTCAGAGCTTTTCAGAATTAACACACCGATAAGAGACAGCTGAAGCATTTACCTTAGTCAGAGCTTTTCAGAACTAACACACCGATAAGAGATAACTTAAGCATTTCCCTTAGTCAGAGCTTTTCAGAACTAACACACCGATAAGAGATAACTTAAGCATTTCCCTAAATCCGAGCTTTTCAGAATTAACACACCGATAAGAGACAACTGAAGCATTTACCTTAGTCAGAGCTTTTCAGGACTAACACACCGATAAGAGATAACTTAAGCATTTCCCCAAGTCAGAGCTTTTCAGAACTAACACACCGATATGAGATAACTTAAGCATTTCCCTTAGTCAGATTTTTTAACACACCGATAGCTGACTAACACACCACCGACAAGAAATAACTTTAAGCGTTCGTTATTCATACTTTTCAGAACTAACACACCGATAAGAGATAACTTTAGCATTTCCCTAAATCCGAGCTTTTCAGAACTAACACACCGATAAGAGACAACTTAAGCATTTCCCTTAGTCAGAGCTTTTCAGAACTAACACACCGATAAGAGACAACTTATGCATTTCCCCAAGTCAGAGCTTTTCAGAACTAACACACCGATAAGAGACAGCTGAAGCATTTACCTTAGTCAGAGCTTTTCAGAACTAACACACCGATAAGAGATAACTTAAGCATTTCCCTTAGTCAGAGCTTTTCAGAACTAACACACCGATAAGAGATAACTTAAGTATTTACCTTAGTCAGAGCTTTACAGGACTAACACACCGATAAGAGATAACTTAAGTATTTACCTTAGTCAGAGCTTTTCAGGACTAACACACCGATAAGAGATAACTTAAGTATTTACCTTAGTCAGAGCTTTTCAGAACTAACACACCGATAAGAGATAACTTAAGCATTTCCCTTAGTCAGATTTTTTATAGGACTAACACACCAACAAGAAATAACTTAAGCGTTCGTTATTCATAATTTTCAGGACTAACACACCGACAAGAGGTAACTTTAGCATTTACCTTAGTCAGAGCTTTACAGGACTAACACACCGACAAGAGGTAACTTTAGCATTTACCTTAGTCAGAGCTTTACAGGACTAACACACCGATAAGAGATAACTTAAGCATTTCCCCAAGTCCGAGCTTTTCAGAACTAACACACCGATAAGAGACAGCTGAAGCATTTACCTTAGTCCGAGCTTTTCAGAACTAACACACCGATAAGAGATAACTTTAGCATTTACCTTAGTCACACACCGAGCTTTTACAGAGACTAACACACCGATAAGAGATAACTTTAATTTACCTTAGTATTTACCTTAAGAGATAACTTAAGCATTTCCCTTAGCTTTTTTTATAGGACTAACACACCGAACCAACACACACACCAACAAGAGGTAACTTTAGCATTTACGTAAGTCAGAGCTTGACAAGACGGGCATATCGACAAGAGATTCCTATAGCGTACGTTAGTCAAAATTTTCAGGACTACCACGCTAAGAAGAGATAACTTTAGCACACCTTCGTCATAATTTTTTAAGACTAACAACACGCCGACAAGGTATTACCATAGCGTACACTACCAATACACCAAAACTGAATCACACATTATGTAATGATAACATCAAAATGGTTCGATCTGTTAAATTTTATTGCAAAAAAATATGACAATATATCAAATATATTTTAAAATTAAAAAAAAAACTCAAATACGAAGGATAGATTCTAGCAATACTGAAATGAAAAGAATAATTGCATAACACAAATCACTGATTTATCTCTTTTGTGAGAAGATGAAAAATCTGACGGTTAAGTGCTGTATATACAACGACTTGTTCAGTGCATTCTTCAAATCTCAAATGGCATTCACATCAATTATGCTTCCAATTTTCGGAGCCTGTACTTTCAATATTATGATATCTTTTTAAATTTCATAATTACAGCGTGCTTTTGATATTCAACAGAAACAGACTTAGAAAAAGGACTTAAACTTTGATTTTTTTTTTTTTCGTTTTGAAATAAACTTGATTTAAATAGATTGTTTTCATATCTTTCTGTAGATAGTTACACACTTACATGTTAAGTTGATATTTTGAAATGAAAATGAGTTATTTTAATCAGTTCTGCTAGAAATCATTTGTCAATATATTTCAATCATTCTATTGTCATTTACTACATCTCATATCAAAAATGTATTACAATGTATATTGACTATGTACCTTGAAGAAAAATCTTAATTTTCACACTTCACACTGTGAAAAAAAAATATTTCAAAGAAATGTAAAAAAAAAACATGTTTAAACACATCTTCAATGATGATGTCATTACATTATGTAAAATAAAGTTACTAAAAACTTAAAAAGTGTCTTTTTCATTATCTGCAGATCAAAGTTCAGTAGTGCAAAACCTTGATTACTCTGACCCTGTTCAATGGGGAGATAAAAATCAGCCCACAAATATTGACTACATAGAAAATGTGTGTAGAAAAAGGCTAGATAGTGTACATAACCACCTGTTGTTGACTTATGAAAAGGCTCCTCTACACTACAGGATTATACATATTTTTGTTAGAAATTTCAGTATATCAGGTATATATGTAATGCATTTAATAAAAATGATGTTTATAAAATAATGAGTTCCAGCATTAAACTTATTTTTTTAAATACTAGTCTACTTATTATAAAAATAAAGTATATAAATTCCATGTCTTTAAAACAAAGGCACACATTTAATGACACTTAGAGAAACAGCGAAAGACTGTTTTAATTTAAACTTAAGCATCATAAATAAAATTCATGAAATCATAGCATTAGTTCATCATGTTGTAAAAAAACATACATTTAAAAAAATCACATTTCTGATTTCTAATAAGCCTGAGAGGAAGTTTATTTGGAAGAAATTCTGACTACATTTCCAACTGAGATTTATAAACCGGTATCACAAATTTATGAAATAAAAACCTGATGTTAGATATTTTTATCACATGATAGCCTTGTTATTCAGTGAATATACCTATATCATACTTTTGTGCTTTACATTTTTGTAAGATAGCTTTATGACGTCACTTTAAATAACAATACAATGTCAAACATTCACAGGTGACACTGTGACATAACAATGGAGACCATCAATAAAGAGCAGAAATGTTTTATTAAAGACTCAGTCATGACATAAAAAAGATCTTCAACTTCTTTCCATTTGTTATGTGATCAAGGAACCCATTATGATTTTCTTCACTCCAGCTTGCCAAAAGGAGAAAACCTTCAACTGATCTTATAAATTAACATATCAAATGGAAATTCATGTAAGATCCTGTATTAATTATGGTCCTTGTGTTAGAATCACACCTTCATATCATATTTATAACCAAACAATTTCAAACATCTTAATAATGAAAAGATGATATAGACAATTGGATCAAAACATTTTGCTACATGAAATCAGTAGAAAAAATAAACAAGGCACAGTGTTGTCCTGATAGTTCATTATATGTACACCATACTGACATGGGATTAGATGTTATGTTTAACTAAACAATGACAAAACATGGATCTTAATGACATATGATTTAAAACAAACAAGGAGTATTCAGTATGACCCGAACATCTAGGGCCGAAACATTTCAGGCATAAACTAGGACAAATCTGATACAGGCCTAGAAAGGCTTAGTCAAAGTTCACCTGAAAGCAAAACAAGATAAGTAGGTCTGCCCTTAATTCATAAATGAATAACCGATAAATGAAAACAGCCCTGGTATATAGTATACCAGTAAAGTTTACTCAATAATTATTACTTAACATTCACAAATTCAATTACACATCATCAATTACATAAATATATAACACAAACATTCTTGTTGAGCGCATAGGCAAGTAACTTTGCTTTTACTTTCTGCAATAAATGATCAAAGGTTATATGCTTCCTTATTTCGGCAAAAATTTCCTAACCAAGAAAATTCCAGGAAAACCTTTTTACCAAGTTACATTTAATAATTGATGTGGATTCAATTATCTATTTGATCTTGCAGTAGAACCAACACCAATACTTTAAATAACTACCAGTATAAAATGTTACATTGGTGCTGATCAGTCACAAACTTCGTGCAATATAGTCGTTTTTAATTAATAGAAATTATCTTATCTCAAGCTTATTGTGATTAACTACTTAACTCTTAATTGTTTATTTGATGTGAAACATTTGAATGGTAACCAAGTGTACATATATTGATCACTTACAGTATAAAATAATGCTTCGTTTGTAATTGAAACAAATCAAGGGAGATTACTCAGGTACAAATCACATTTATCACTAGTAAGGTAGCATATACCCTTAATTTGATTCAGAATTTTAATATCATGTTTTTATTTTTCTAAGTACAATGCACTTAAAGGGACATAAAAATACTTAAAACAACATACCCGGTACTTATCGGCTTATTATTGCAATTAATACTGTAAATTTCACATCGTAACATATAATGGGAAAATATATTAAGATTATATATAGTAGTATACAAGATCACAAGACTAGAAATAATCACCGACAAAAGAAATATGATGCCAAAAAAATAGATAGGTAAAATTTTACAAAAATGCAGCTTGGACATTTGGACAGATACTTTCGCATTCACAAAATCATGATATTTGCTTACAACAACTCTGTATCAAGACGTGTATCATATGTAATTTTATCTCAGATATATAAAACAAGTTAGAAATATAAGATTGAATATAAAGCACTCAAGACATACTTTTGTCAAATTGTGATTATAGATTGAAAACAGACTTTTTTTAAAGGTAATTAAAATACAATACATCTTAATATATCAATACACAAATATATATTATGAGTTAAAAATTGTATTTTTAACTTAAAGAAGAAACAAAGAATACTCGCACTGGTTTATTATAATTTTCCGAATTGGTCAAATCAGATGCTTAGATAAAACTTTTTATTACACATTACACAATACACAGGTGTACAGATTGTGCAGGTATTCTGATAATCTAGGTAGATTCAGCATGTTATTCTTGCTTATCTCTCTCAATTTTTCAAAAAAGGAACATTTTGCATGGAAATAGAAAAATATTGAAAGGTCCTAAATTACCTCTTATTTCATAGAAAAAAAGTATATAAACATCACAGTTTCAGCTTTTTAATGCAATGGGTTAATTCTGTTCAGATTGGCTAACCTTTTTCAAAATTCAAATGTAAAAGATTATAAGCCATGTTCCATCATTGGAAGACTTTATAAGTCTGACCAAACATTCATAATTCATTAAGTCAACACTTCATTGCTCACTGTAAACAGTAGAAACATTGTCTTCAGTAAAAAGTCTGAATTATGCAATATCACAAACAAAACTGATAGTACAAGCCAAGACAGAGAGGGACTTTGAATCACAGTACCTAGAGTTAGTATTATCTAACCTTCAAACCGGGCTTCATACCAAATATCACCAGATCTCTTTAAAGAGCTGAAAAAGATAACATCAAATGTATTAAAACGCATGAATTGACATTAGAATTTGTCTAACACTGTCATGTTTCATCATAAATGAAAAGTTCAAAATTGAACAAACATATTCTTGCTCTCGAACAAAATCATTGTATGAAATAATGCAAAACAACACTAGACTAAATGTATTTGGATCATTAAAGTCAGAAACGTTGAATTTTTAAATCACTAGAGAATTTCTTTACACCTGGAGAATATCTTGATAAAATCATATCTTTCTACAAACATTTACTTTTCAAAATACCATGCAGGTATAGTATACTTACTGTACGATGTCAGCAAATGCCCCATACAAAGATTTACACCGGTATGGTATGTTGTGTTTTTTGCAGATTGCTCGAACGTGTGGCACTATCTTGTGTAGATTGTGTCTTGGCATGGTGGGAAACAGACTGAAAAAATTTATTCCAACTTTGATATTTGTTTTATAGACATTTGTTTACAGATCTTACAATGTACATACAAAACATCAGCAACAGCAACTTTGGGGACATTCCAAATAACAAGATAACGATGTTTTCTGAAAATATTTTCACAACTGGCTGTCTTACCTTTATGTTTATCTCCTTCAATTCCCATTTCCTGATATATTTCTGTCTTATCCTTATGTTTACCTCTCCAATTCCCATTTCCTGATATATTTCTGTCTTATCCTTATGTTTACCTCTCCAATTCCCATTTCCTGATATATTTCTGTCTCACCCTTATGTTTACCTCTCCAATTCCCATTTCCTGATATATTTCTGTCTTATCCATATGTTTACCTCTCCAATTCCCATTTCCTGATATATTTCTGTCTCACCCTTATGTTTACCTCTCCAATTCCCATTTCCTGATATATTTCTGTCTTATCCTTATGTTTACCTCTCCAATTCCCATTTCCTGATATATTTCTGTCTCACCCTTATGTTTACCTCTCCAATTCCCATTTCCTGATATATTTCTGTCTCACCCTTATGTTTACCTCTACAATTCCCATTTCCTGATATATTTCTGTCTCACCCTTATGTTTACCTTTACAATTCCCATTTCCTGATATATTTCTGTCTTACCCTTATGTTTACCTCTACAATTCCCATTTCCTGATATATTTCTGTCTCACCCTTATGTTTACCTTTACAATTCCCATTTCCTGATATATTTCTGTCTTACCCTTATGTTTACCTTTACAATTCCCATTTCCTGATATATTTCTGTCTCACCCTTATGTTTACCTTTACAATTCCCATTTCCTGATATATTTCTGTCTCACCCTTATGTTTAACTCCTCAAACTCTCATTTCCTAATACACTTGAAAATGAACTAAACAAACTTATAAAGTTACTCTTCTTTTTGCCTGGTGGGTATAAATAAAAAGTAAATCATAAGATAGACAAAAACGTACAAGAAGAAACATCTAAATAAGTCTACTCACCTGATGAATATAAAGCAAAATCATTTGAATACCTGTATATTTTTTAAAGCTGTGTAGTTTTGACAAACAGTATCTGTATCAAATCACCAGTTCTGACTTATGTTAAAGTTGTCAGATGATGGAAAGAAAGAGATTAAGAGAGAAACAACTTACTGGTGCTCTATTTGGTAGTTAAGGTGCCCAGTAAACCAGTCATTGAAATAACCTGGTTCCACATTACATGTGGTGGCTAGTTGAAGAGAGAACCAGTCCATTTTATCATCATGGGCGATCTTCATTGGAATATGACTCATCTGAGTCACCCAGGTAAACCAGTGACTTTCCAAGAACCTGCACAACCACAAATCATAAAGAGATATCAGTTAAGTGCTTCAACCTTCTTGCTGTTCTTTAATCATTTCTGCAGTGCAATCTTTTTCAGTATCATAAATGACAGTAAGTTACAAAAAGTCTGAGATCATAGCTTTATCAAGTTTTAGCCTGAGAAATCACTTAGTGAAATTTAGACAGGATTTGGAGAGTCCTGATTGATGCTGATATCATTTTTTTTACACTTGAACAAAATTCATCTAATGTATTGATAAACATAGTAAGAAATTTGACATGATATAGACGCAGAAAATCTGTTAACATTTTTTCATCATTACTTGTTATGCATTAATTTATATACAGTTCATGTGTATGATCCTAACAAGAAGTCCATCAGTTTTGTGGCATAATAGCACCAATCAATTTTCACATTCACTTATTTTACAAACACAAAATAATTTTTAAAAAAAGGAAAAAAAATTACCTCACAAACATATACAGGCCAAATACACCCCATCCACCGAAGATTGGACCAAAAATATAAAACCAGCGAAAGAAGAATGTAATTGTCACTCCAAGATCCTGTAACAGAAATAAAATTTAATACAAGTCTAATCACACAACTTTGTATGTAAGTAAAAACCTTCATGTATCTACAACACTGTCATGCTGATTAACATATATATATTTATCCATGTTACACAATGAAATTCATTAATATTCTATGTTTGTTATATTTCAAAACCTTTTCAAATATAAGGTGAGAAATGGATGCTAGGCAGTGGGTGGAGGGAGGGGTAAATTTGAAACAAACGAACTAATAACATTTGGAACATAGAGTAGAAAAACTCTGAGGAGATCAAAACTTTGGAATCTAGGTCAGGGCAAAATTACAGATTCATGGACCCAAATATACCATGGAATTTTAATATGGGGAAAAGAATATCATTTTTTTCACTAAATACAATATTTTCTAAGCATTAATTTCTTTATCAGAAATGATAATGTTTTATCTGTCATTTTGTTCTACACAATATTTCTGAGGTCCAGATATTCAACACAACAATGCTTCTAAAAGTGCTTACAGAAAGAAAGGTTAGCAAGTGTATAAAGAACTAAATCATAGGAAGAGGTGGGGGGAGGGGGAGTGTGGGGGGAGGGGGAGTGTGGGAGGAGTTGGTGTTGGTATGCTGAAGTAGGGAAGGTTTCGTAAGGGTATGTAGACAGAGCAAAATGGGGCAGATGTCAGAAGGCGCATATTTTACTTATGTCAGGGGAAAAATGTATTCAACTACCACTAACACAACAACATCAGTATTTGTGTCTTAAGATGAAAAGAAAGATAGAGTAAACAGTTGGCATACTGGTCAAAACACTTACCATCCAATCTCTCCTCTTGAAGACAAACATTAGGTTCTCAATGTGGAAGTAGATGGGAAGAAGCAGTGGGGGTCCAACTAAAGAGAAAATATATACACTCTCTTTATACTGTGTTCTATGTACGCTTTTCTGAATCCATAGTTATCTGCCCTTGTGAGCCAGTATCAATTGTTATGCCATTTGTTTGTGAGACTGACATCATTATTTTGTTAAAATGGACGGAATTTCCTCTTACAAACTAATAAGGTAACTACCAATAATTGCTTACTAAGGCAGATTACTCTGCATTGAAACAAGACAGAGTTACTAGCGATTATATAGCGGTATATGAACTCAGTCAAATATACACAGTTTTCTGCTTATTAGCCAAAATTATATTTGAAATTTACAGAGTTCAATATTCAAGTTTTTTTTTCTGCAGGATAGTTTGTCTTGATTTTTTTTGCTTTGACTCCATAAAAAGTTTCAAAAGCAGAAAAAACTGTACTGTTGGATGACATAAAAACTTGTTTGATAACATTATGTACAATTTTTACTGAAGGCATTTACAACAAAATTTGATTTCATTATGAACATCATCAAAGCGTTGAATAAGCAGACAAAGAAAAAATATTTGTGTTTCCAATTCCTGACCCACCCTGTCTAAAAGACTTAATATTTGTGAATTTGTCAACTTTTGCAGTGATATTCAACCCAAGCTGCCAAATTTTTGGCATTGCCTTTTAAGAAATCATTCTTATGACTTGTATAACTATCGTTAGCATCGAAATATCTCTCCTGTGGTCAATTTGGATAGGTGAGATTGGTAGGAATACTGCCATCCAATACAAATTCAACTGTCAACATACAGGTAAGGAAATCTGGAACTGACAGATCACTGGATCAGAGATACAGAGTGTTCAGTAAATACACAGGTGTGTGTTCTGTTCACTAAACTTTCTGCTGAGATTACAATTTCATTACTCCATTTGGCTTATTTTCTGTTGATTTTATAATTTACACAATTATTTTATTCTGTTCTGCTAATAACAATGCATACCTATTACAATGCAATCAGAGCTGCATGAATATTTGATAATCAATCTACCTAGATCTATAATGAATTTCTGCAAATTAAATATGTTTATTTCAATGGTAAACTAAGGTGTACAATTTCCATAAGTACATTAGTACCTTGTAGACAATTTTGTACAATTTTCTTCAAAAGCATCTTATGAAATCCGAACTTGTGCAGAATATCCCTTTAAGTACATATACATGCATTGTGTCTGATTTCACTTACTACAGGAAAGACTATCATTTTCAAAAATTAAACAACATAGATATTCTGACAAATTGTGTTATTGATTATTATAAACATCTCATTTTTCCATGCAAATTCAGAGTTAGATACAGTAGAGCCAAATAATGAATTAAATTATATAATTCAGCTGTTTTGTCCTTCCAAGACCATTTCTTAATCAACATGCAGTGCTAATGCAGTCAGTGTCCAAAGCAAGCAATCATTATTAAAAAAAAATCCCTTTCTATATTGAATTTTTGAAAATTGAAATTGATTTTTCTCAGGCAGCTTAGAAATGTTGTTTTTTTATGGAATCAGCAATTCTCAAACACCACCAAACTTTCTTCATATCTTTATCCAGAGACAGATATCAGAATTTCAAACCAAGGGGATTACCATTAACTAATAGTAAAACACTATGTTTAAAGTATATGTAAACCAAGGAACATGACACGAGTTATTGTAGAAAGAGGACTTTTAAATCTTTTCTTACTTAAAAACCAGTAGCTGTGCTGTAATTGGTATGGCATGAATCCTTTCTTCTTCTGTGCCCATGACTTTGGGACGTAGTCTCCCAGCAAGAAGAGATACGCTACATCAACATCGGGGTCCTTCCTCAACACGTTAGGTTTAGCATGGTGCTGGAAGTGTCGGAAATTCCACCAATGGGAGGAAGCAGCCTGTAATGAAATTCAGGGTCAAAAGGTCAAATCATATTACAAATAACCAAATATGGAATAACATTTTGATAGAGTGACTTCTGGTGAAATAATTTCAGGAAAAATGTTGCCAATGAACTGAAAAACAAACATCACAGCTAGTTGAGACTCAATACCACCAGTTCCCATAAAGACTTTGTAAGTATAAGTCAAACTACTCATCCATTGAAAGGTCAACTGACCGTAACAGTGGACATAAACAAATAAATAAAAGGCACACTTGCTAAAGTTTGTCAATTCCAATGTGTTTTGTTGTTTACTGTCAACATACAATGTATAACAATGTTAAATATTAAGTTACCAGTGAGATAAAATAGTTTTACTAAATATGCATCTTCCTTGATCTCTAGATATCCAGGATAAAAAATATGCATCATTCAACCATGTAAAAGTCACGGCAGAAAGTAATTTTCAGCATTTAGAACAAATTTGATATCACAGGTATATATGTTCAGTAAAACTTTCATTATATCAGTCTGAAATTGTTTTTGTAAAGATTGTCTTTAACATCCAGTACAATATCTGGTACATAATATAGCACTGTACACAAAGAAATGTTAGCTCACACACATGACATAGTTACATTTTATGTTCAGTGGTATGAGCAATGATTTTGACCGGTGGTCATTGGAATGACTTACCTTCAAGTGACCAATTACAAAGTGATGGAAGATGTGGTTGATTTTGTGACTCGGGAATACAGACATGTGACCATAATCATGTTGGGACCAGCCAGCCTGAGCCTGAAAGTAGATTAAAAAAAATACTGAATGGAAAATGTTGACAATTTCACCTCAAATTCTGTTTTAATTGTTTCCATGTTATGCTACAGTATATACACCTAAAGGCAGGGTTTTTTCACTACTTTGGAAAAGTGGGCTGCAACTATGAATTTCACAACAAAATTTCTCAAATTGGGAAAGTCACAAAATAAAAAGTCATAGAATTCAATCATGATTTTTAGTTTTATTGTCTCTCCTGTGTACTTTAGCTACTTTTTGTTGAAGTAAATAAATAATCATTCAAACCTATAGCTGACACACAACAATATATATAATGGACAGCATCATCCTAATGTTATGATAAATTTGATAAACAACCATTAATTTGGGAATTTTAAGTCTTAGATTGGGGGAAATAGGAATTTTCTCATTGGGAGTGGGACCCATATTTTACCCGATGTCCTGCGGGGAAAAAACCAGTATTGTATATTATCTTCATCTAACATCTTCATCAATTTATATATACTTGGTATATAAATATTGCTCCAGTTTACATTTTGCTATCAAACACCTTCTACAAGAAACTTTACCTGTGCAACAGCCAGGATCATTGCTCCAAGTACAAAAGAAGTCAGTGTGGACCCCATATATGACATGAGGCAGTAAGCCAAGATCTCCAGAAGGATTATGTGTCCTAAATGCAGGCAGAAGAACCATGGTTTCGTCTTCAGTAAATCACTATCTTCAACATGTTTTCTCAATGCACGAAAGTCAGCTTGGAGTTCAGACTACAATTTTAGGATAAAATATCATGAAAAACTGCAATGGAAATGTTATTATTGAATAAAAGTAAGAAACAAAGACTGAAATACATTTTTGATGATAAGCAAACATTTCTGTAAAAGTTACTTTAAGCAATATTACAGGATGTATTAGGTGCATGCATTTAACCTAGCTTTGTGTACATAAAGTTGTGTTTTTAATGGAAAATAAATAACAAAATTATTCCAACAAGTTCGATAATAATTACCTCTTCCTTATCCTTCACATCTCCAACATACAATGCTTTCATAAATTTCTTAACAAAGTCTTTGTCATTGTGAAAGGACTTCCAGGCATCCTGAAAGAAAAATTATGAAAATGTTTTACCTCAAACTAATCAATTACTCAATACTATAAAACTATGAAACATATAGTATTAAATAAGGTTATCAATGAAACCTACCTGGGTTAATCAAAACCACAATTAGCTTTTATCATAACTATGAATGTAATAGTAAGTCTAAGGACTCAAAATATCAAGAAATTGACAACAATCTTATTTAATTGATGTGATATGTGTCAGGGGGGTGGGGGAATCCAGGATCGTGAACCCAAATCCAGAACAAGTCACACACATGTGCCCCAACTTTCCATCATCTGACACACAAATCACTGTACATCTGTATTTACAGATTTTGAAACACTAACTAAATGTTTTAGGAAGGAGCAATGGTAAACAGTCTGTTCCTTGGTAACCTCAGAATTGTCTTGACGATTTATCAACGCTTCAATATTGTCTGGCATCATTGATGTCAGTTCAACTGATATAAAAAAATCAAATGATAAAACATCAGAATAGTGGTGACTTCCCATTCTCCACTAAGGTGTAAGTTAAACTACCTGGGTTATGTCTTTCCTATACATGCTAATTATATTGAGGGAGATCTCGACCATCTAATGACATGTAGATTGTACATCCAACAACACTAGTTCCCTAACTTTCACCTAAGATACCTCAATAAATAGGCTCTTTAGCTGCAACAAAGCCTCCCAGCATCTTGTAGCTTAGTAGTCAATGACAATAATCTGTATTTAAGATTTCGAAAAATATCTTGCTTTCTCTACAGTAGGGCTGCGAGTAGGTAGACATGTGCATCTACTTGTTTAACATAAGAGGTCACCGCGACACCGGTTCTATCCATCTATTGTGACAATTACTTATCTCGGTTTACAAAACGCCAAAAAGCTAATAAAAAGAGAGATATGCGTTATCATTGTATGCTTGAATGAATCCGTTTTGGGATTGCTCCTTAGGACTTCTTTATACTGCACGTTCGACAATATGCCTCGTCTAAAAGACATTGTAAAACGTGCGATATAAATGAGTCCCAGGGAGGAATCCCAAACGGGATTGTTTAAATAATCAATGCTGTAGGCATACTGTTTGGCCTTGTTGTGGATCAGGTTTATATATACACATTACGATGATACAACACGGAAGAATACGTTACCGTAGCATCCTCCCCTGCATAGTGGTTCAGGATTTTTGCTCCTCCTGGATGCTTACTTCCCCATCGGCTAATATCATAAACTTTTCCTTCAATCATCAACCAGCTGTCTCCCTTTTGATTATGCTCCCGCACGTCATCCATGGATACATATTTCGGAGCCGGAAGTAAGGTTCCATTTTCGGATGCTTTACCTCCTTTCCCCATCCTGGTGATTAATGCTGGTACCGGTTGTTGAAGTTATGAAACGTACAGCGCTCGTACGTGCCGACTTACACAACCTACTTCGCAACCAGGAGCCAACGTCAATCAGACGCTTAATATCACTGTATATTTATACGGTTGTTTTAAACGTTTGCCGCACACAGACAATCTGTTGATGGGCCGATAGTTTTTGGTAACCACAACAGATCTGATTTTCATTCAAATGCTTGCTTATGAAACGTCCTCGAGCGAATAGAAATAGGAACCGTATACTAACACGTTGTGTAACACCGATAGGTCTGTATATTACAACACTGGACAACTAGGTGGCGTTTAGTATTGAAACGAAACTCGCTGTTCGCCTCTGCTTGAGGGTTCCTCATTCAAGTGTATGTTGTCTTGAGTTTTATCACACGATAGATTGCATGGTGAAATTATCCAGAGCAGAAATATACTATATTATCAATCAACAGATCAATAATAAATGGTTAAAAACTTGGAAAAAATAGACAGATCAAACAGTCAACGGAAAATTATAGATTAACCAAATACAAAACCAAAAGCATTAGGACGAAATAAGTTGGAATATGTTGTGATCACAAGAGTAAGATTGGGAACAACTATATCAAAAAGTAATATCATTATAATGGTTAAAGATGCTTCAACAGACTTCACATGTACGTACTCTAATTCAGAGGAGACAAATGCAATAAATCATATCTTTTCCATATTTCTAAATTCGACCAGGAAAGAAAAGATTTAATTTCCGAATTCAAAAGAATGAAACTCCAATAAACATTCATCAACCAGGTTTCAACATCACATGAAAATGAAACTGCTCATCGCATTCCCAAGAAAAATCGATGATTTAGATAAATATATACGATTAAACAGAAAGGCCGAAGGGAGACAACTCCAGAATTATCAAAAACACCATTCACAACAGGTAGGATATCCAGGGTATCCAGACAGACTGTTCCTTGGAGGATTACTATTGATTCTCTCATTCATTTTTGCGTGAGGTATGTGATGTCATCCTCTGTGCCTCATCCCCCGCATTCACATTTGAAAAATAGTCTTCACATACAACAAATGCAGTAGTGTCTCCCGGGGGTTTCCTAGCAGAGTGCTCGCTGCTGAAACTGTACATTGAAATAAAACATCGCACACGAGTTAACATGCCCTTTCAAGTATTTGTTAAACAAATGACTAAAGAGGAAGAAAAAATCACAAACTCCACATTTAAGGTCATGCATTCAGTACAGATTAAGCATAAAAGGAACCTCGGAATACAACGGTCATGGACTGGTTTGCAGTCCGATTCGATTCTTGTAACCTAGGTTGTAGCATATAGAAATGTTAGATAGTGCAATCAAAATACTATACAAACATGGAGATACAACATCCAACATCCGATATCTTCAGTGAGACATACATCAAACACCCGATATATACAACGAGACATACAACATCGCACACCCGATATATACAATGAGACATACAACATCACACACCCGATATATACAATGAGACATACAACATCACACACCCGATATATACAATGAGACATACAACATCCCACACCCGATATATACAATGAGACATACAACATCCCACACCCGATATATACAATGAGACATACAACATCCCACACCCGATATATACAATGAGACATACAACATCGCACACCCGATATATACAATGAGACATACAACATCCCACACCCGATATGTACAATGAGACATACAACATCACACACCCGATATATACAATGAGACATACAACATCCCACACCCGATATATACAATAAGACATACAACATCCGACACCCGATATGTACAACGAGACGTACAACGTCCCACACTCGATATATGCAATGAGTCACTATTCTCATATACAGTGTATTCCCAAAATACATTAAATTTCATGGCGATGTGAGATATTTACACTTCAATTTTCTGTCCTCAGTTTCGGTATGAGTCAATTCTAGACATATGAAATCTCCAGAAACTCACATAATTACACACAACCATACATGCATTACAAAATTTCAACAGACAAGCATACAACCCAACTATACACCATAAAACCAATAGACATTGATAAAGTGATAAAGTAGCTTAGTCAATATGATTGTAAAGGTTTAAAGACAATCGTGTAATAACAACAATCGTTTAATAACAACAATCGTGTGACGTCTGCGCCATTAGTCATTTTTTGTTTCCAAGCCTTCGTTTCGTAATCAGTTACAGATTTATAAACTAATGACTTCCATTACACTTTATTAAGGAAATTACCATCATCTAGGAATAGTTTGATAAAATAAATCAATTATACCTTTTTTAAGAATAGCCTCTTTGAGTATATTCAATTACTTTAAAACAAGAAACGTTTTAAAATAAAAAAAAAATATTCAGGTTATTTTTTTCCATATTACATATCCTACCTGAAAAAAGCAAACAGTTTTTAAATATCTATATAAGCATCTTAAGACGTCCATTCAAGAAAAGATGTGTACATATCAGTTCTTGTTCTCCTATCTAGACCCTTGATAGACTTAATAATACAACGATGGTTCTCTCTAGCATTACTAATTCAGTATTCGAAACTATCTACAGTTCGCACCTGTACAGTGTAGAAGGGTAGACTTTAATTTATAATCTGTGAAACTGTTTATGGGTTTAAAACACATTGATATACCACCGGGGTGCAAGCGTGCCATAGTATCACTTTTTCATTTGTTACAAGCTAATTTCGTTCTTTCTATATAATTCCGTTTATTGTTCAAAAGATACATCAGTGAATAACTTCTCAAAAAACTGACGATATATTATTTCAGAGACGGACGTTGTATCACATGTTAATGGTTATTTGACATGAAAATACTGCAACTTTACTTTCTGAAGCAGAATAGATGAATCTCAAATTTCGGCAGTAGGATTCACATTTTTTTGTTTTGGTTTTCTTGTTTTTGTTTTGTTTTGTAAACCCGTAACACTTGTGCTTACTAAACATGTATCATCTGCTTGAGTTGGACTGTTCACAATGTTATCAACTATCATAGCGTCCCAACCACGTTTAGTAAAATGCATTTTGGCGGATTGAGCCCCACAGTATTGTCTACGCTTCCCGGACCGTATCCATGGTCTTCTCTTTAATAACATTCCATTATGCAACGTCGTCAGACTTGTGTCCAAATAATGTTTTAAATAATGTTCATACTTAATTTTGGGTATATATTTATTTTCTGCCTCGAGTAATGCACGACACACATCGTTATAATAACAATCTATGTCCTGGATGTAAGGATTCTCGTCTGGTGACGTGATACAATCCAGTTAGCGTTTTACATAACATTTATAATTATTTTTTGAAAAATCGTTCAAGACTCTTATCCACTCACATTTGTTATATTTGTTACAGAGTGATTTACTAGCCATAAATAGAGGAGTGGAACAAACTATAGGACACTGTTCTGACAAGTTTGCATCCAAAACTTTACAGTAGTCAACATATTTACAGAATTTGAATTCTCAATTAGCATGTGATCAATTACAGTGCAATTGTCCGTTTCCGTGTAAAACGTAAACACACGACCTAAACATGCAGAATGAACATTAAGTGTTAACGTTAAATCTAAAAAATCTTAATCTTGAGCGATTGTTATCTTTAAATTCGTACCGGTCACGTCGTATTTTAACATCTAACTAGCCTATTATGAATACTTCCTTTTCTCATGGCATATATTATACAGAAATTCAAGAATATCAATGTGTTCTTGTAAACCCTCAATAGGTCGCGAAGCAGCAGGCATATATATACAGAAACCAGTGTGTATATTTACCACCAGATGACTAGTTTCGGCCCATCAATTCTAGGTCTATTACAATGTCTTAAAGCATATAACAAACACTCCATGGATATAGTACCTGTTTGCACGTTCATATTTAGCAGGCACAAACCCAAGCAATCTGTCACTTAATATTTTTGATGACTGCTGAGTAGGGTGGCTGCTGAAGAGGGACAATGGACCTCAATTGGTGCGGAATCGGAAATAGATATTTCACTTCCGGTTTTATCTGACTTGTGACTGACCTGATTTCTGGTTGGGTTAATGAGTAGGTGGCGAGACTGTTATAGTCGTCACCTGTTCCTTACTTAATGTTGGAAACTGTAGAGTGTCACGTCGTACTGCGGAAGCGTAGGTACATGTTTGTAGGAGTCGGTCTACTGTCTACCTGTTGCCGGAACTTACCAGACTTAATGCTGTTTTTTTCGAGTGGAATTGTGCTCTCCTACTTTGGAGGTGGTAGTGTTACTGACCGTAATTCTGATATTATTTTTATGCTTCCAGAAGGGAGAGCATATAGACCGCTTTGTCTCGCCGTCTCGCCGTCCGTCCGTCCTAATTTTGTCCGGAGTATAACATAAAACCTAAAGGAGGTATCAACATTAAATATTATAGCTAGATATATCTAAACAAGGAGAAGTGCAGTGCACCAGAACCGTCACTCTCTTTTGCATAATTAATGAGTTATTGCCCTTTGTTAATTTTCATACTTAAATGTTGTCTGGAGCGTTACGCTAAGACTATAAGATTTATCAACATATAACTTCATAGGTAGATAAATCTCAACAAGAAGGAAGACAGCGTACAAGAATCATAACTCTCTGATTGCCTTTACTTATTTTTCATACTTAAATTCTGTCCCATTCTGGGAGCATAAGCCGTCTTTAACAGCCCTTCTCAGTTTTGTCTCTCTATTTATTGTTCTGTTTCTTTGCAGGTTTGTTTAGTTATTGATGAACGTTTTAAGAACGATTTTGTGTCTCTTGTAAAATGTTGGGAATTTTTTGCATTTCCTCCTCTGTCAACTTCACCTTTTGAGTCGTCAGTTTAACAAAATCTTTACAACTGTAAACTGTCCGACAATCCTATCCCAAGGTCGTCAATCCACACGAGTCTTATGATTTTGTGTTAATTGAAACACTCCAGACCTATAAAAATAACTGCTAATCAACATAGCATGCACACATATATAGCTTGTGACAAAGAACTAATATAGGTCTAATATGTGTGAAGGAGCGGTTTGAATCCTATCCCAGATTAGTCGGTCCACAGGGGTCTTGCAATTTTGTGCTAATTGAAACATGGCAAGCGAAGACAAACTCAGAGATATGAAATTAAACTATATTTCACCAGGTTTAACAAATATATTTTAAGTGGTTTGAAATGTTTAAGACAATAAAAGCGAAACACACGTACTCTCTCGTGTTGACCAAAATTTTCTGTCACTAAAATGATTATTTATTTTTAATATTTACATTGATTATATACTGAAGAGCATAGGGGTCATGCGGAGAAAACATAATTTCGTTTTTTTTTATGTTTGTAACTCAAATGCTTTGGCAAAGTTCATGATGACAATATCTGTCTGTCTATTGTTGTTATTTTGTGTTGTGCCATGTGAATGTTTCTAGTTGTGTTTCGGATAATCTGGATGCTCGGAAGCCGTGCTATAGAGTATTTTGATGCGTCATTGTGGCACTTGTGATGGCATGTTCCGTGTGTATGCATGATATTGTGTTGAGTGATACAGGTCTATAATTTGCGGAGTTTTGTCTGTCACCTGTTTGTATATGGTGTTAAAGTTTGCATGTTTCCAGACATGAGGTAATTTGTCTGTGGTGAGTGATTCGTTGTCAGAAAGGGTGCAGCTATATATCTTTGAGTTCTTTGAGTAGTTGTCCGTGTATTTGGTCTGGAACTCTTTTTGTGGGTTGGTGTTTTCAAGAAGTTTTGTAATTAATTTACATGTAATATGTATCTCTGGCATGGTGGGATGTGGTGATGGACCTTTATCTGGTATGTTGTGATCCTATTATGTTGTGCATAATGTTTGAATTTGTTTATTCAGAATGTTTGCTGTTGTGGTAGTGCCGGCTACGAGATGGACACCTTTGTACCCAGGGCTGTTTTTTTCTGGTTGTGTTGATGTATCCGAATCGTTGCAATTATGGACAGATCTTTGACTGTTATTTTTATAAGAACGGTGTGCATTGCATGCTTGTTTCTGTTATTTGTAAGTGGGTGATATGAACGACACTTTGGGGTGAAGGCCTTTGGATTTGTGGATGTGACGAAGACGTGAACTTGTTGTCAATGGGAGCCTGTGTTTGTAAATCAGGTGTTTCTGTGGTTTGTAGACTGTTTTGTGAAGTGAGTATGCAATTTTCTTTGTAAGGTTGTCCAAGGTGCTGCAAAGTTCAGTAAGATAGTGTCTTATCTCCTCCCAATTGACTTTGTTGTATGATAATGCGTTTCTCAGTTCTTTTCTGGATCGCCTGAGTGTAATACATCTTTAAGTGTATTCAATATTATGGTCTCCTTTGCCCATAGGTGGTTTCGTGTCTTTTTTGTTTACGATTGATGGTCTTTGAATGTGAGTTCAAGTATGTGGTTGTCTTTAATGGACTTATCTGTGAATTGTGTAAATGAGTTGTCTTCTAGAATATCTAGTAAATGTAAATGCTGCAATTACTCAATTGACAATCAATGTAAGGAAGGTTGAGATCTCCACTGATGAATGTTATCATATTGTTGACCTAATCTGTTCCTAGAGATTCCCAGTTGTAGTAGTGAATTTCCTTTGTCTGACGGTGGTCTGTGATACGTCCCTATTATGAGGTTATGTATATTTGCCATTAAAATATTTGTTCAATTTACCTCATTGTCTGGTTGTAAGTTGTTGCGGTATAGATCTAAATTGTTATTGCTATAAGTACCCCTACATGACTTTGTCCGTTTCTATTTATAGCCCCATTTCTGTAAACTTTATATTCTGTAACTGAAAAATATTCGTACGATATGTTGATGTATTTTTTCGTTTGTTGTTCTTAGTTTTGTTGTTTTGCGTCCTGATGGGTGAGGTTGTAGAGGGTAGTCAGAAGCTTGGAGAGTTTTCAGATAGACTGCTGAGATTTGACAATTTTGTTTAATGTGTTTATTGAGTCGTTGTCAAAGAGTGTAGAAATCTGGCTGTCCACAGTTCAAGCATTCCGACGAGACATCACTGTGTACGTAATACAGGAGGAATGATGAATTAATACTCTGACAATCGACATAAAATCAGGGGTTCCTAACTATATATTCTAACTCTCTATTCTTTTATAAATCGGACGGCGACTCTAAATATAAAATGAAAAATTAACACTAACTCCATATCTTACTTTTGCACTCTTTACTTTGTAGGCCTAGCGGTAGAAAGCATTGATTAAACCAGTCTTGTGAATAATCTATTGGCATTTATAGCCGAAATACGCCAAAATGCAGAGCAGAATTCCCGCTAAATATTGGGACATTGACGGCAGGTAAACAACCTATGTGTTCCGATTACCGTAACGTAATCTATGCCGAAGTAGCCATGTCAACGATATACAAATTGTTGCCGAAGAGCCCCTTCATTAGAACTAGCTACAGCTAGGATTTTTTTGTGAAATTGGACATTTTGTCATGAATGTGTATCAAACAAATAAATAAAAAAAATGATATACATTTTTTTTCAAATCACGAGTAAATATGAATTGATGTCACTTATCTATTCAATTATTCATTTCAACTATTTATTCTTTTTTATTCTTTTCCCATTTTATATGTAGATAATAGACTAGCCCGAAGGTTTATGAAATCGTAGCTTTTGATATCAACTTAAATAGCGTTTTAATAAACTGGTTGGAAACATGGTGCTCAAGCCCCGAAAATTCTCTTTCAAATCACGAACGTCTCCGGGACTACCGAAACGACTTGTTTCCGAAACGACTTGTACTCCAATATGGAAATTTTTCATTATCGGAATCAGAAGATCAACATCAAATGCTTTCCATTCTAAAGAAGAACTTATTATGATAAATTACCCGAGAAAGCCAATTGGGTCGTATCAGCCAAGTATATCATCATCTATATGAAATTGTAAACTGCAATTAAAAAAAGTTATGACCCAGGATTAACCATAATTGTGTCTTCAAGGCACCACGATTATTGCAGGTTGATAGTGCTATCCCAAACAACAAGAACGACGTTATTGACCCCCACCACACCCTACCCTGACACCTTGTTTTCTTCTGTATCAATGTTCAAGGATACAGCAGTTGACAAATGATACAGAAATGCCTAGAATTAAATAGATCACTGCAGAGTCAAAATGTATCAAGCAACTACACACTAACAGACGAAAAACTGGAGGAAAACAACCCCTTCTTCCCAGTTAAAGAGCCACCTAGCGGCAATCATAATAGTTGCAAAACACCAACAACGAAAACATTATGAGCTATTATTTGGATATGGCATATGAATAGGAAAACTAAGTCTGTTTTTATCAAGGTCACTGACACGTATGACTTTCACCTCCTCCTAGCCCTAAACGTCTCGTTCCAACAACCCATAACACCAGACGTTAAACAATTTGACAGCAGATGTCAGGCGTTTTTAAGACTTGCAATGTCACCAAAACAGTTATGATCATAATTAAGAGAACGGGTGTCAAGGACACCAAGAGATGGAAAAGAAAGAACAAAATGACGCAGCTTATCTCTTCGACTCTTCAAACTTCTGACAACCCCGATTCTGCAAGAGCCAACTGGTGAATTCATGTAATAAATTTTCACGTTTTCCAATGAGATCCCATGACAACTACTCGTTATTTCCATCCTCTGCTGTTTATCTTTCTACGATGGCTATTTTGTAGCTAACGCATTTATCTTTTCGTTTCTAGTCATTCCCGTACCTTTCCATATATCAGTATCTCTGCACTCAATTATTGAGTCTACAGACAAAGTTGTACCTACCAATTCCAACTGGTCCACGTATACCAAAATGTGTTCTTTCCCACGGCGCGTTCGTATTGTTCAACTCTCACTGATAACATTATCCACACGTATAAGACAACAGCGAATCATCAGTTTTATCTAGTCGGCAAACATGATTTACCAAAGTATATACGTGTTGGTGATTTGCTCCATTGGGAGCCTAGTCAATGCTCACCCGGGTTTCATGGATCTGATTCCTAATGGTCACATAGTACCCAATCCCTGTGCTAATAGCAGCATACCTTGGGTCGGTGTTGGACACAACAACCGTACAGGAGGAGGTATTGCCAATGTGTTTGGGGCCGTGAGTATTCAAAATAATTATTGACAATTTGTGAGGTAGCATTATATTTTGTCATCCACGAATCCTCAGTTTTTGCATGTGAGATGAATGCACAAGATGGAAGAATCTTAGAATTTAGAAAAGGATTATTTTTTGATACACTAGATTTTTGCTGCTTGCCATTTTTCACGCATTTTGAAACGTTGAAGAAAACGAGCAAATGACTGTTTTAATAACAATAATTATGGAGCCATGTCAAAATGTAAACAGCAGAGTACAACTATATCAGCATTTATCAACAGACAACGACAGGAGATTCTCATAGTCGTTCAAAATGTGTCACGTGTCAGTATTTAAAGAAATCAACCATACATGAAGCTATCTTAAATTAATTCAATGTTGAAATGGGTGATATGTATGTATATATTATAAAGACTGGAAAACACGGCAAGTTGTAAAACACAAGCGCTTTCGTTTCTTCTTAAGGTGTTTTACATAGAAACGAAATGTGACGTCAAGATTAACAGTTCAGTAGTGGCACGGGAGATGATAAAGTTTACGCTCAGATAATTTTAGGTCAGAATATCTGGTTTAGGATGAATAGCTTTCATGAGGTATTTTTCTTTCTCTTCCCTTGTAGTTTGACTGTCTGACAAAACTTTATAAAATCAAAAGATTTGAAAGGTTTTCCACACATGTTTCTAAATGTTCGCTTAACTTAACCTGACGATAATAATTGTTACTAGTTTCCTCAATGTAAAATTCTTTGCAACCCTTTGTTCCAAAATTATAGTATTTCCCTTCCATCATATATTCGGATGTACCACACCGAAGATTTTTACACTTTACCACTTAGAATTCCTGTTGTTCTGGATACTTTGATTTGCACAAGATCCGTGTCAAACCTTTTGGTTGTCTTTTGCTATCGATAAATTTGGCCTCGACAAACACAATTTTACCTGTTAATCGTGTTTCAGTATCTCATTTAAACTGTTTGAATTGAGTTTTTTTTGTCTTGGATTGAGTGTTGATACTAATGGAATAATTAGTGAATTCTTATTTTTTTTATTTTCTTTTGTCCTGTTTATTTCTTCTGTTCTTTTTATCCCATCTTCTATTATTACATGGGATTAATGTTGTAAAAAACGTCTTGAGTGCATCGAGACGTTCCTCTCTGACCTGTTTCTCATAGTGGTAACAATTCTTTCTGCCAAGAAGTACGGGATTACACATTTCGTGTGTCCCGAAAAGCAAGTTTCAAACTGTAAATATGGATGAGTGTTCATTGGTTTGTGTTAGATATCGGTCGAAACTTCATCGTTTTGCTTTTTCATTAGTATGTCTAAAATTGGATTTGATTATCGTTGACTTCCATCATCAATTTTATATCCGGATCAAGGGTGTAGATTAAATAAATTATTATATTCTAGTAAACGTTCACTTGCTTATCTCCAAACAATAACACGGTCAGTTAAAAATCGTTTACAGTTTTCTGCTTTAAATATTACATAATCTTCGCTTTAAAGTTCTTTATTTTTATTGCATAGTATTATTTCTAAATAGCCAAGTGTCATTGTAGCGTACGTTGGCACTATCTTAATCCCCATTGCTGTTCCTATATCTAAATAGTTAATGAAGTGAATTTGTCCTTTTTCTTAAGACAAACACTGTAGCCGTCAGAAAGTATAAGATGATTTGGATTTATCAGGGTTTGCACGACAATGGTCGTCGCTTAACCTTCCTGTACACGTGATCATCTATTCTCATTTCATTGGTCTTTTGCTCATATTGTGCGCTAGTGTCATCGAATTTGTGCTTGAATTATCTTCTTTGATGTTTCCTTACCTAATACGAGTTTAAAACGATTATTAATAATAATTATTTTTCAATCATTTCGTCTCTACATTACATTTAAAAATGCTCAGACGTGGCTTTGGGAAGATCCGGAGAAATAATATGTATTGTCCTGCCGGGAATTATGATTTGATTGAAGTTGTGGTGGTGTTTTAAAGGCTTTCCTGACGGCAAAGATGACCTGGACCCGTGACTTGTGTATGGCTGATTCCGACATTGATGGTAAAACTAACGGTTTTGAACTCGGAGACCCTGACTGTAAATGGGTTCAAGGTGGAACACCAGCAAACAAACCAGTCTCTCACCCAGGTAAACTTATTCACTGCTTGTAAATGTCTCTCACCCAGCAGGTAAGATAATTGACTGTTTTACAACAGTCTCTAAGTCAGGTTAGATAATTCATTGCTTTACAACAGTCTCTAAGTCAGGTAAGATAATTGACTGTTTTACAACAGTCTCTAAGTCAGGTAAGATAATTGACTGTTTTACAACAATCTCTAAGTCAGGTAAGATAATTGACTGTTTTACAACAATCTCTAAGTCAGGTAAGATAATTGACTGTTTTACAACAGTCTTTAAGTCAGGTAAGATAATTGACTGTTTTACAACAATCTCTAAGTCAGGTAAGATAATTGACTGTTTTACAACAGTCTCTAAGTCAGGTAAGATAATTCACTGTTTTACAACAGTCTCTCAGTCAGGTAAGATAATTGACTGCTTTACAACAGTCTCTAAGTCAGGTAAGATAATTGACTGTTTTACAACAGTCTCTAAGTCAGGTAAGATAATTCACTGCTTAGTAGCAGCGTTTCCCCAGGTAAGCTTCACCTGTCAATAACAAGTTTTCTGATACATTTCTCAAGTATATTCTCGTTTCAAGTATATTCTCGTTTTTGCCGGGTACGAGCTGTTTGTCAACAACAGTTCCATTGCTGACTTTCCATAGGTAAAATGCAACTCACGCACGCTTTTATTCCAGAAAAGTCACCACTCCCATATTAGTCACCATAACTTAAGTAGTGTGACCATGTACGCTATATTTGCAGTTCGCCAAAAACCTAGATGTATCAAATGTAGGGCACTCTGACCTTTATCTTGACCTTTGACATACATCGGAGAAATAATAACTGGGCTCTGTCTATATTCGCAGGTTTCCACATATATATATATAGATCCTATTTACACTCGCGATGATTGTAGGTCAAATTTAAGTAAAGTCACGGCATCACACATACCGAAAGTCGCATCGCACAAGCACAATATCTTAAGAACAACAATAGATAAATAGATAGATAGATATTTTTTCCGGTGAATATTATTTATTACAATATTTCGATGGCGGAAAGAAGTCAAGAAAAACATATTCTTCGAAAAGAACGTGAGAAATCCTTTCAGAATTTTTTAAGGAAAATAATAAAGATAAAAATAACATTCAAAACACCTGTTGACGTATTGTTTCATTTGTTTGTAATTTTGGTTACATGTTTTCACGTTCTTTTTCAGGTGTCTGCGAACCAATGACCACCAAAACTTGCATGGCCGTTAATTTGAATATACAGTGCATCTAACAATTACAATTCAATAAATTATTTTTAAGTATTGATGTTTTTTTGTTATTTTTTTCTTTCTTTTTTTATTCACTCTAAAATACGTTTTCGTCAGGAATGCTTAAGCTATAAGGATGCTTTTCTGTCACAATAGTCATCAGTCAGGCAACCGAGAACGATTTTCGGTATGGACATGTGACGTAATGTTAACGACAGTTCTACCAGGTGTATTTATTGCGGGACTATTCGACCATATTTACTTTTGTACATGTACGTACAGAGTCGCGACCTCTAAGTTCACATGGTTTTTAAGAAGAAGTCACTGTTGAAAGACCTTATTTCCTGTTAACATATCAATATATCGGGATACAGGTTCCAATTTGTGAAACTTTCTGTGGGATAGGCCATCCCCTAGTGCTAGTTTGAGAATTAGTGATAAACAATTGGAGGCGAGCGTTTGTATCGTTGGCGTTTTTTCAAAATTGTTGTTCGCTTAGTGATCACCCTAAAAAAGGCAATGTCATTAATGTTTGTGCTACTTACGTCAAATGCCAACAACCTGGGAGAACTGCTGTAAATTTGGACAAGATGATAAATTCAACAGTCACATAATATCACTCCAGATGTAACTGTGAAAACTAAAATGTATGTCAGAGCAAAAAATATTCTTGTTATACAATGTATTTATATTGCTACAAAAGGTCATTCAGGGGTCAGTAGGGCTTTTGGAAATTCGGACGCATTGTACAGAAACACGAGTACCTGTATCAGGCCCTCTCTTACTATGCATAAATGGTATTGTTGATAATTTTGAACGTTTATGTTAATTGATTGCAAATGAGTGTCCCTTACTTCACTCAGTATATCTCCTGAAATCATTGATACTAAATAATGATCTAGATAAGATTGAATCCTGGACAAGTAAGTGGTTAGTTAAATTTAATCCAGCGATAAATAATTATGTAGATAAAATTGGACATTGGAGAAGTAAGTGGTTAGTTAAATTTAATCCAGCGATAAATAATTATGTAGATAAAATTGGACATTGGAGAAGTAAGTGGTTAGTTAAATTTAATCCAGCGATAAATAATTATGTAGATAAAATTGGACATTGGAGAAGTAAGTGGTTAGTTAAATTTAATCCAGCGATAAATAATTATGTAGATAAAATTGGACATTGGAGAAGTAAGTGGTTAGTTAAATTTAATCCAGCGATAAATAATTATGTAGATAAAATTGGACATTGGAGAAGTAAGTGGTTAGTTAAATTTTATTCAACGATTAATAATGATGTAGATAAATTAGACATTGGACAAGTAAGTGTTTAGTTAAATATAATCCTACTATGACCGAGGCGTTACATCTTTCCAATTTTGAGATTGTCCATGTATTAGGGATTTCGTTTCAATCATGTTGATGTTGCATTTGTAGAAAACCATAAGCACCTAGGAGGAACATTAAATGGAAACTGTAAACGGAGTAGGCATATTGAAACTATTTTTAAACATGTGTCTGAACAGGTAAGTGATTTACGACAACTGAAGGACATTGTAGTGCTGAATAGACAAACACTAGACAGCTGTTAAAGATAATATATTCTACCGTTATTGGAATATTACTGTGAGGTTTAGTACGGATGTACTCTCGCTGAAACAGACAATTTAGATAAACTTCAGCTAAAGTCTATTCGTGTTGTACTGTAGTACCCTGCTATACCAGTAGGGAATCATTACATTCAGAATGTAGGCATAAATCACTGGTAAACAGACGGAAAAGGAGAAAAGTGGAGCTCTTTTACAAAAGTCATACCGATCTCACACCAAATTATCTTTCACCTTTATTATCACATTTAGTTTCACAAAATTCCCAGTATAACCTCCGAAATGCTCATTAATACTGTCTACTCAATATCAGACTTCGACTTACTGATGGTTCTATTCCCGTCTACTATTCGACTTCGGTATAAAAAACCTAAACCTTAATATACGACAGATTACGTCATTCTCACCTTTTAAAAACTTCCTTCGTAAGGTAAATGACGTAAATATTTCCTTTTATCATTTTAATGGTGACTGGAAAACTAATATTTCACAGCCAGATTAAGAAGTAGACCAAATACTTTAAATGAGGACGTAATTCATGCGAATTTGATTTTAATCCTTGTCAATGTGGACATCACATTGAACAAAATTACCATTTTTCTTCTTTAACTGTAATACGTACGTAAAATCATATTCGGAATTAAATGAATTTATCCCACTAGACCTACAACTTATTTGCAAAAAAGTCTTGATTTGTCACTCGGAGGAAAATGAAAGAATATGTCTCCAAACTCATCAATGCATTCGGGATAAAAATAGATTTTGATTTCTATACCTCTCTCTGCTCAACTCCTCTCCTTTTATCACTCCCTCCTTACCAGCAGCCCCACCCCCACCCCAACACCACCCCCACCTCAACCCCTCAACTTCCCTATTAATCAAAGATGTCTCTTCAACATAATGTTACATGTATTAATATATCATTGAGCAGTTTACACGGAAATATCTGAAATTTAAAAATTGACACAGGAAGAAAGCATCCCAAGCAAATAATTATGGACTGTAAAAAGTCGAAGGAATGGCATAGAAGAATGTTAACTGGTGACGGATGTGTCGTAGAAGATTCACCGTGTCGCCCAATCTACAGCATTATTTACTAAACTATTCAAAGTTTCGGTATCATTCTTCAAAAGTGAACATGAAGTAGACCTCCCCGTCCTCCCTCTGTATACATTTCTTTATTTCTTTGCAAGCCATTTCTGCCATGTGTATTCTCTCATAAAACTTATTTGTCTTATATAAGGATTTATGTAATCATGTGTAAAAGTTTAAGTGTTGTATATCATATTCGGTAGAGGGGTTGATATCAGAGGAAAAACCCGATCCATTGTATTTATTAGATAAAATGAACTATATTGCAATCAAGAACCTTAGGACAGTGTACGTTCTAATTTCCGTTTTTATAAAATAATAAATTTATTACAAAAATCATTGGGAATAGAATAGTAGCAAATGTGTCCATTTCATGTGATACGTTTTAACTCCCTAAAAACTAGCCCCGCCCCGCCCCGCCCCGCCCCGCCCCGCCCCGCCCCGCCCCGCCCCGCCCCGCCCATTTCCCAATGTGAAACTTCATCTGGTGTTTCTATGATAACTGTGTCAGCCAGTCACTTGAAATGAGGTTATCTTATCTTTCACATTTTATAGATAAGAACTTGTAAGACAAGACACGTTTTCGATCATAGATAACTTACATGTACATACCTTGCATATTTACAGTTGCAATCGTCTATTAAATTCATTCTTAGAACAATGCCACTAAAAATGAAAATAATTATTTTAGGAATTTTTTTATTTGTTGGCACATGTGTTACATTCCCATCATATCGAGATAGTATTCCAAATGGACACAAGGTGCCTAATCCGTGTAAGGGATCTTCTGGATTGTGGGAGGGTGTTGGACACAATATACTTATAGGCGGTGGACAGAGAAATGTGTTCGGTAAGGTAAGTACTTGTCACATCATTTATCTATCTATTGTTTTAGGTATCAGGTAGGTACAGTTACCAGAGAGAGGTCTTATCTGGAGCATCACCGTGATTATGCTGCTAGATGAATGATGTCATTCTTAGAATATTCTGTAGTTCCGTAGAAATAACATGGGATAGAAATTTTACCTGTTTATAGTAACATATAAATTTTCATATCTATCGCCTACCATCTTGAACTATGGAATGTGAGCTCAAAATTATAATACTAAGAGGAATCTCTTGTCATTGCTATCGAGGTTGTTAATATAAATGACCTTGACAAGGGGTCAACTTTGTTAAGATTTAACATTGCATTTTCTCGATAACCAAGAGGCAAGCAACGATGAAATTCTGTCAGTAGTATAACCTGATTGATTGATTTCTATTGAACGTATTAACAAACTCTTGTCTGAAAATTCCGGGTTTCGGTATGGGTCAAAAATGAAGTGTTATTTTGGGTAACAAACTTTGACAAACTTCTGTTGGAGTACGACACGGCCTAGAGCCTTGATTTTTTATATGTAGGAAACTCTTGTCATTTACTGTCAAGTTTGTAAATATGAATGACCTTGATCTTCCTTCAAGGTCGCATAGGTCGATTTTGTTAAAATCGTAAAATTACTTTTTTGTTAATTACCAAGAGCCAAAGAATGACGGTATTTGATCAGTTACATATTGTGATAAATTACTATTGAATGTGTTCCGGTTGCAGTCAAAAATAAAGGTGCAAACGATGGGGTTTCAACCTGTCCTTGGATGCGAACACAAGAGCTTGTACTGCTATCGATAGCCTGTGTATTCACAAGTTTACAAATAGGCATTTGAGCCCAAACGCGTACATAATCAAGAATATAGCACCATTTTTGTGCCAAAATGAAAGAAAAAATGTATGTTTCGTTTGGAAAATACAACACTATGACTTCTTCATTTTTCAAAGAAAACTAAACATGAACATGATGATAATAACATGTTAGATATAATATATGCAAAACAAGAAGTCATAAGTTTTGAATATTTTTTTTATATTAAGCGAAATTTTCTGAAGGTCTAAAACACAACTTTCTAATTTATTCCATTATATAATTTATTCAATTATGAACTAAAATACATCTTCAAACACTATAAGATAAATCGCCCAAAAAAGTCATTAAGAGTTTTGTGCAATGTAATTTAAATTGATTTACAATATTTGATATGTACTTTTTAAGGAAAACCGAGCAAAAGGGTGAAATCTGTTTTGGATTGTTTTGTAGATTAAACAGAAATCAAATGTTTACATTGGGTTAATTAGTAAAAAGGGACTCTCACCAAAAGGCTTCTAAGTTCCCTGATATCTACAAAAAGAATGTTAAATGATGCCGCTTAATCTTGAATCCAATAAGGCTTCTTATTATGGTTGACTATGTCAATGTTGGTCTACATCATACAGTAGTGTAGTTCTAATTGTCCATGCCGACCATATCTTACGTCTTGAAGATGGCTGTTGGTAGCGAAATCTGAATTTGTCATAAACCTTTCTATGTCTAACTTTGGAAAGCCACAATTTTCCGCAGTGGCACCTAGTTTGACAAATGCCATATCCTTTGTGTCTCGTTCCTGTGTTCTAAAATATATGAATCCTCATATGCCCTTGATACAGGCTGCCACTATTCTAACGAGTGCCTCGATGACATCAATGAACTAGTTGCAGGCAAGTTGTGTTTTAAAAACCAGTCATTGCATCGTCCGTGATATGACTTGGCACTATCCATGTGAAATATGCTATTGATCTACCAAGGTTAGCTTTTTGTTCATCATGTTGAGTCTGCCTAGGTTTTAAATAAAACGGCATATTTGTTGTCAAACCACATGATTCCAAATCTGGAAAGACATCCCTAGACCCTTGATCATCAACAATATTGTCATCTTTCTTTAACTACGAGAGACTATCCATGATGACTTTAATAATCTTCGCATCATTATCGCTTCCAGGTAAAGGTCGCACTGTGTCTAGAATGTAACCATCAGGCAGGACTATGCTCATGAACTTCAAATAGTTAAGCTTCTGCTGATCACAGTAGGAGATTCTCAGAAGCTTGTGATCAGAACTCTTAAGAACAAAGATATATGTACCGTCAAGTATGACAGTAATCCGCCGGCCAAGAAATGCTTCTGAGAACACTCTTGTAGAATGTTCACGTTCAAGGAACAATGGAACAATTGTTTTTTCTAATGCTTTTACTAAGGAATACAATGGCTTTACAACCTTCAGAGAGGAGTTACGACGAGTGAAAGAAGACTCCTGCTTTGATAACATATGTGAAATCTGAATTTGTCATCAACCTTTGCATGTCTAACTTTAGAAAGCCACAATTTTCCGCAGTGGCACCTAGTTTGAAAATAGTGATTTGGCGCTTCTCGTGAGATACAATTTCAAGACGGTTTCGATTTTACTAGCACGTCGTTCGAAATAACTAACCATGTGCACTCATAAAATAAAATGTGATCTTTTTATGCAACACTCTGCTTTTATAATAATCATTGAAAGTGGGTATTTTTGTTTGTGAATTTGAGCATGGATGTAGCACGGACTACAAAGTGTGTAACATCTATGTTGGCTACAACAGATACCTATATATCCATGATTGCACGAGTCTCCGAGACTAAGTCTGATAAAATCACTCATCCATGACTGATCCCATTCTACCTGTGCGCTCACATGTCCACGACTCGACTAGCGATAAGGGGACATAACCCATGATATCCCGTAGAAATTAAAGTAGTTGTAAATGAACAAAATGGCTTCAATATCGCACCATATTTCATTTTTATCGTGAAAATATTGCTGCTTAATTTGTTATTTAACAAGGAATAACTTTCGACAGGTTGGTTTTATTAGTTGCATTGGATTTTGAGCGAAACATTTTACTATATATGCAAATGAGTGTTTACTCACACAGCCGACTTTATGGGCCGGATATAAGAAATTCACAAAAGGGTGGATGGTGGGCGTTTCTCTCCTCCCGAAAGGAAGCCTTCAACCGTCACTATCTTCTTATATAGGGTAGTTAGATACAGTAGAGCCAAATAAACTGTACCTTGCAACAGTTTCGCCCTTTAGGGGTTAAAACTTTGAACTCCAAAGGTGATCGGAAGACACTGGACGATTGTTCTTTGTGTTAAATTTCCAGTGTAAATTCTATTAGCATAAATAATAAGTTTAAGAAGCACACAGGGTTCAAGTTCCATTTTTCCAAAGAAATCTAAACATTTCAAACTCTACAATAAATATGCCTACAATGAATAACGTAACGGTACCACAGTGGTAAGATCCATGTTCTCAGCTGCAAAGTTTTTGGATTGAATGTTCCTATAGGGATTTTTTTTTTGACGGGAGATCACGTTGTATTTTTCTAAACAACTCGTTGTAGTGCTCAGTGCCAGATCCATCATAGTAATGTTACATCGTTTTCATTAAAGTGAAATTAGTTATCTCATGATGACCTGTTTTATCAGAAAATTTTAATTTTTGAAAAAAAATATTCAATTTCAAGACGGTTTCGATCTTACCAGCACGTCGTTCGAAATAACTGACCATGTGCACTCATATGATAAAATGTGATCTTTTTATGCAACACTGTTTTTTATAATAATCATTGAAAGTGTCTAGTTTTGTTTGTGATTTTGGGCATGGATATAGCACGGACTACAGAGTATGTAACCTCTATGTTCGCTACAACAGATACCTATATATCTGTGATTGCACGAGTCTCCGAGTCTAAGTCTGATAAAATCACTCATCCATGACTGATCCCATTCTACCTGTGGGCTCACATGTCCACGACTCGACTAGCGATAAGGGGACATAACCCATGATATCCCGTAGAAATTAATGTAGTTGTAAATGAACAAAATGGCTTCAATATCGCACCATATTTCATTTTTATCGTGAAAATATTGCTGCTTAATTTGTTATTTAACCAGGAATACCTTTCGACAGGTTGGTTTTATTAGTTGCATTGGATTTTGAGCGAAACATTTTACTATATATGCAAATGAGTGTTTACTCACACAGCCGACTTTATGGGCCGGATATAAGAAATTCACAAAAGGGTGGATGTTGGGCGTTTCTCTCCTCCCGAAAGGAAGCCTTCAACCGTCACTATATTCTTATATAGAATAGTTAGATACAGTAGAGCCAAATAAACTGTACCTTGCAACAGTTTCGCCCTTTAGGGGTAAGAACTTTGAAATCCAACAGGCGACTAAGGAAAATCCAAAATTGATTAGAAGACACTGCACGTTTGTTCCTCGTTTTAAATTCCAGTGTAAATTCTATTAACGTAAATAATAAGTTGAACAAGCACATAGGTTTCAATTTTTGAAAGGAACCTTAACATTTCAAACTCTACAATTAATAGGCCTACAATCAATAACGTAATGGTAGCACAGTGATAAGATCCTTGATCTCAACTGCAAAGTCCTACAGGATGTAGAGAATTGATAGTTCATTTATTAGATGCTCAAGTAATCGTCTATAATAGGATAATAACATAAATGATCCACTTTCAAGGTCACAGGATGTCAAAACTGTTAAATGGCTTATAATTAATAACCAAGAGCTACAGGATGATGATATTTTGATCAGTTGTACATTGTAATAACTTTTTATTGAATGTTTTAATAAAACCATGTCTGAAAATTCCACTTCCGTTATCCGGTGTGTTGAAACCTTTAAATGGCTTCTTTTCAATTATCAAGACCCAGAGGGTGGTGATATTTTGTCAGTAACAAACTGTGATCAATTGATCACAATAGACAACATTCTGTTAATATTCAACTTCCGGCTTTAGTTATAGATCAAGTTTCAAAAGTGTATTTGACAATGAAAAAAAAGCTTTCTTCAGCACTGTAGTTATATCAACCTTTTGAACAAGAACACGAGAATGACAGTATATATATATTTTGTAGTAAGAAGGGAAAAAAACAAATGCAGA